GAGCAGATGTCTTGGAAGCCTATCTGTTAGATTATAACACCCAAGAAAATACAATGCAAGGAAATGTTACTAGTGGTAAAATAGTGACAGTTGTTTCTTCCTGTAGAGATAGACAGTGGTTATTTTTGTACTGTTTGTTCTAAAATTATGTTCAGTCAAAAAATATATTGCACTTATTGAGAACTGAAGAGAAGTGTTTCATGAATACACAGCGGGTATAGAAAAGAATCACCCCCCTTTTTAGAATTATCACATTTTGTTGCTTTGCAGCCTGAGATAAAGACAGACAGTTTTTGTTTTATCCAGCTATATTTACTCAGTGCAACTTATAACATCAAAGTGAAAGATATATCACCAACATGTCAGAGTTGGAAAAAGGATCGCTCCCTCCTAAAAATGACTTTTTCTCAATTGGGTGTAGCTGATCACCTTCTCAGTGGCACACAAAGCCATTGAACTTTCAGCTGTGGTCATTTTAATTCCGCATGAAGAGCTTTCCTGGAGCCTTTCATTCCTAGATAGTGTAACTGAAGCAAACAATTCAAAAACCAAAGTTCCGAGTTGGAAAAAGGATCACCCCCTTGGGTCAGTATTTTGTTGAACCACCTTTTGCTTTAATTACAGCCTTTTAGTCTGTTGGGATATGTCTCTACTAACTTTGCACATCTAGACTTTGCAATATTTGCTGTCTCTTTGCAAAACTGCTCAATTTCAGTTAAAGTTGATGGTGGTCATTTGTGGACTTCAGTCTTCCAAGTCATTCCATAGATTTTCAATGGGGTTTAAGTTTGGGCTCTGACTAGGCCATGAAAGGACATTCACCATGTTCTCCTTCAACCACTGTGTGGTCATTTTTGCTGTGTGCTTTGGGTCATTGTCATGTTGGAAAGTAAACATTCTTCCCATTGACAACTTTCTGACAGAGGGCAGCAGATTTTACTAAAGGATTTGATGGTATTTTGCCCCATCCATTTTTCTTTCTATCTTGATAGGTGCTGCAGTCCCTAGTGCAGAGAAACACCCCCCATAGCTGGATATTACCACCTCCATGCTTTACTGTGGGAATGGTGTTATTTGGATGGTAAGCTGTATTGGATTTCTGCCAGACATATCGTTTAGTGTTGAGGCCAGATAATTAAATTTTAGTCTCATCTGACCAGAACACCTCTTTCCATGTGACCTCAGACTCTTCAAGGTGCATTTTGGCAAAGCTCATGACTGCATGTGGCCTTTCTTGAGGAGTGGCTTTTTTCTTGCAACCCTCCCATACAAGCCACATTTTTGGAGAATTTGTGATATTGTTGTCACATGCATACAATGCCCACCCTTTGTCATATATTCCTGCACCTGCTTCAGAGTTGCTGTAGGCCTTTTGGTAGATTCTCTAACCAGTTTCCTCCTGGCTCTTTTATCCAGTTTGGAGCAACATCCTAAACTAGGGAGGGTTTGTGTTATACCAAATACCTTTCACTTCTTAATAATAGACATCACAGTGCTTCTAGGCACTCATAAGCCTTTAAAAAATGTTTGTATCCTTTTCCTAACTTGTGCCTGTTCACAACTTTATCCCGGAGATCTTTTGACAGTGCCTTGCCACCCATAGTTTACTGCTTGCTTCAATTGCACTACCAGGGATTAAAATACTGCAAGAAAGCTCTTTAATGCTGAGCTTATCAAAGTGACCACAGTTGAAAGTCAAATGGCTTTGTGTGCTATGGAGAAGGTGATTACACCTTACTGAGTTTACAAGTTATTTTTAGGAGGGGGTGATCCTTTTTCCAACTCAGTGATTCTGTTTTTGGATTTTTTTAAAATTTTGTATGACAAGTTGGTGTTTTTTATCTTTCACTTGGATGTGTAAATACAGCTAGATAAAAACAACAACTGTGTCTGCCTTAATTTCAGGCTGCAAAGCAACAAAATGTGATTATTTTAAAGGGGGGGGGGGGGGGATGATTATTTTCTATACTCACTGTATATTATCCAACAAAATTTTGTCAAATGCTGGTAAAAGTTTTCTCTACAATTTTGTCTACAGGATTCGGCATGTTCTTGAAATAGCAGTGGTTGTGGGCTGATTGTTTGTATCACTGGTCTTCTGGTCTAATGCAACTTTTTCTTCTGTTCCATGTATTACATAATCCTCTATATTTTCTAGTTGATCCGAAACTGCAATAAAGAACATTTATTATACTGTATTTCACCTACAGCAACAGTACATTATCGATGGGCTTGTCAAAATTCTTCTGTCCTGGTAGAAATTTACTAGATTCCCTCAGCCCGGAAACAGCATTTCATCAACAAAAAAGTTAGCAACAATGTATAAAAAGAAATTTAAAATGAAGCTTTCTACTGTAGAAACCATATAGATGGGTAACCTAGTAAACTCAAAATCTCCTTATACATGAGGTTACACACAATCCTCATTCCTCAAACTAAGCCAGCAACTTCATTCTAGTACACCATCTTAGGTGTTGGTATTCTTGCAACACATCCTAAAATTTCTCTCCTTGTAAACAAACAAAAAGCAATCTTGATTTCCTACCCCAAGTGAAAACCTGATTTCTAGATTTATGTGAACACAACTCCAAATTAGTACATTTATGTGTTCCTAGTGAAAAGTACTATTAGTGCTACAGCATACAGTGCAAAGTTGTTTTAGACAGTTTTGCCCCTCGAAACAATTTGGGGAGGGCCCTTTTTTTACTGGAATTACTGTTCCCTGTGCACAAGGCCAGGTCCACGTTGAAAAGAATTTAGTTTGAAGACATTTGGGAATCTTGCAGAGAGCTCTTACCTCAACCCCACTAAACATCTTTGGGATGAATTAGAATGCCAATTGTAAGGCATACCTTCTTGGCCAACATCAGCACCTGACCTCTTAAATGCTCCCCATTCAATGTGCAGCAGAGTAAAAGCCTTCTTAAAAAGCAAGGAAATCACATATCCCAAAACTAAGAGGATTATTCCTCTTTGATTCAGTTGTAGGGCCTTTTGATTTCCTTTTGGATCTTCTCACCATAATGTGTATAATTGTACAATTCCATTGGGTCCCAAGCCCTACTCCATAGAAGCCATAGTATCCAAACAATGCATTAATGATGGATGAAAAAGCCTGAAACAGCTGTATGTAGGTGAAATAAATGTATTTATAATATTAGGCTATATTTGCACGATAGGCTAGCAGCTCTAGATGTGCATCTTGCTAATGCAGTGCAAAGGAATGATTTGCATTGCTCTGCCCACTGTCCTGAAATGAGGAATAATCCTATTAAGAGTGATGGAATGAGACGTGAATAACTTCTGTTCTAAAAAGACTACTGTGCATTGATTCGGTTGGTGGGATTTTTGATTTCTTTGGCCCCTTCTCACCATAACTTGCATAGTTATACTGGCTCAGGGGTTTATTTACTAAAGCTGGAGAATGCAAAATCAGGCTCGCTTCTGCATAGAAACCAATCAGCTTCCAGGTTTTATTGCCAACGCTTAATTCAACAAACTGAGGTTAGAAGCTGACTGGTCTCTATGCAGAAGTGAGCCTGATATTGCACTCTCCAGCTTTAATAAATAAATAAATGTTTGCTTTGAATGTGAGAGCAAATGAAAATCTATCAACAACTTTATTTTTATTCTCATATTAATATGGTCATTTACGTAGGACTAATAAAATTTACATGTGTACCTACAAAGCATAAGAAAATGGGATTATCTTTAAAAATAAAGTTGGTCCGTTCTGAATGCTAGTGATATATAATGAATTGAAGGTAATTCTGAAAACAGGCAGCACAGTGGCTAAATGGTTAGCCATTCTGCCTGGCAGTACTAGGGTCATTGGTTTGAATCCCAACCATGGCACCACCTGCCTGGAGTTTGCATGTTCTCCCTGTGCCTGCGTGGGTTTCCTCCGGGTACTCCGGTTTTCTTCTACACTCCAAAGACATGCTGGTAGGTTAATTGATTCCTGTCCAAATTTGCCCTAGTATGTATGAATGTAAGTTAGGGACCTTAGATTGTATACCCCTTGAGGGTTAGGGACTGATGTGAATGTACAATATATATGTAAAAGCGCTGCATAAATTGAAAGCGCTATATACGTACCTTAAATAATAAACAAAAAAAAACAGCAGTACCTACTTTACAAAGATTCTGACCATTCCTCACTCCCTGCTTTTAAAACTTCCTTCCCTTCATATCATGTTCCAAGAACTACTTGTGATCAGGACAGGAAGGGGAAATATGGACAGCAATAAAAAAGTCAGTAAGTATCAGAAACCAGAATTATCATTTCCTTTCTACCCACAGGACCAGTTTAAATCTATAACAGGAAGCAAAGAAAGACCAACCCCATTCTCCATAAAAATGACAAGATCAAAAAGGAGGGTTCTGTATGCTGACATGGATTGGCATCAGGAAAGGTAAATTACAGGAAGTATTTGATAAAATATTCAGTTTTCCCGACGCCTTCATTGCAGTATACTTATGATACCTAATGAGCTAAACAGGGAGGGCTAAAATGTATAACCAAACTTTATTACAATAAACATGGAGGCCTGAATCATCATTCTGTCTAAGTCCACTGACGTATGAACCTCTGGATCTTCCCTGTAGCACCTGAGGCAGGTGCACTATGGCAACCATCCTGCTGTTTTGCTGATGGTCCCCACAGACATTTTGCATGTGCTGTCCGAACATATAGATGGAGCAAGTCTCTCTTTACTTCCTTTTATAGATTTCAATAGGCTCTGTGGGTGAAGATAGAGGTGTAGCTATACCATATGTTTGCTGCCATGTTGGCATCAGGTAATGTTATTGGTATCTGTGCAGTTTATTGTTAATCCCTGCTGGCAAAATTTCCTGACCCTCCCTGTTCCAGAGTCAACTATTACCGGGACAAGAAGTGAAGGAAAATCTTCTAATTAAGTGGAAAAGTAAAGCTAAACATCAATTGGCTTGAGTGGGCTTTAGCCAAAAGATTTACAAAATGTGGATTACAAAGGCCATCACTTACCTGTAGCCAGATTACATTCTGCCTGAAGGTCTTCACATTCTGGCATGCCCATAATTTCCTCTTCAGATAGAGCTAAGTTCTTAATTAGGAAATATGTGTTCATTTTCCCTTTGCCTTTTACATCAATAACTCCTCTTTCCACAATGTCAAAGTCCTTGTGTTTCAAGGCCCTGTAGAATGATTTAATTAAAAGTTTGTTTTTGAATCAGATAAGATCATTTCATTTATTTCTGTATTTCTGTCATTTCTAAACAGGGAAAGGATCCTGGTGAAATGGAACATTACCACTCTGTTTCCCTGTTCAATAACGATCTTAAATTACTAATGAAGATTCTCGCTAATAGGATCTCCTCTTTTATGAATGTGTATGTACACAAGGACCAAGTAGGATTTATCCTGGGCTGACAATGTCCAGATCAGGTGAGATGAGCGGTTGATATCATGTCTCTGCTTCACTCCCGCTGGGATGGAGTCCATCCTCAGGAGGGGTTGTTGCTCTCCATAGATCTTCAAAAAGCTTTTGACTCGGTTTCCTGGTCTTATCTGTTTCAATGCTTGGGGATTTGGCCCTAACTTTCTTATTGTCAAGATCTTATATTCCAACCCTGTGACCAGTTTAAGGATGTCTGGTAGCTACTCAGACCCAATCTCCATTGCAGAAGATACCAGGAAAGGGTGTCCCCTTTCCCCCTTTTTTTTTAGCAAATGCTCTCTGGGCCAACTCTAATATATATGGCGTCTTTTGTGGTTCTCAGGTCTACAAATGCACCCTCTTCGCTGACGATCTACTGCTCTTTGTTATGTCGACAGTAGTCTCGCTCCCGAACATCATGCAATTGCTACCAGTGTTTGGTGATATCTTGGGCCTTATGGTAAACGCTAATAAATTGGTTGCCTTGAACATTTCAGTCGCATTCTGGACTAACAAGCAAGCGTCCTTCCCTTTTGGCTGGAGGAAGGTTTATATTCAATATCTTGGAATTCATGTAACTGCGTCATCCTTATGTAACTGCTGAATCTTGTAGTGATATAAGGGACACCAGAAGGAGCCATGTGACACAGGACTCCCAAATTGCCAAAGAGACTGACAATAGCTGCAGCACTGGAAGGAACAGGAGACACAGACCACAGTAGAGGTAAGTAGTATAATGATCTTTTTCTTTAACCTCCTTAGCGGTTTTCCCGAGTGTAGCTCAGGGTAAAATTTCAATACCAAGAGCGGTAACCCCGAGCTACACTCGGGCTTACCATGCGGCGTTGCTCAGGGGGTCCCTGCAGCACTTACCTTGTCCTTCACTCCCGCGATGTGTCCCCTGCAGCGTCCCCAACCATCTCCTCCGGCCGAAGCCAGCATCCGGCTTCCGTGTTCCGGTCCCTGTGACGGGACGTGCGGGCGCCGGAATTTGAAATTTTTTAAAAATTTAATTTTTGCTGTTTCAATGCATTTCACATAAAGTTTGTCCCTACTGCTTTGTCCTGTGCCCTGCCTGCATTTTGAATGTTCTTTCTGCCTGGAAACTTAGAAAAGTCCATGGCGTCCAAAAAGCGTCCCTTTACGTCAAAAGCGGTTTTAGAACAGCGATAGTAAATCAGAACCACTTGCAGAATTGAGTGATAATGATTCGTGGGGAAATTCGTCATCAGACACGGAAAACGATTTTGCGACTTTGCACAGCGATGTGCGAATTTGCCTCTGTATTTCAAATTTCAGTGTTTTTGGTTTGATTATATTATTAAATTAAATTAATTATTATTATATTATTATTTTTTATGATTATTTATTAAATTATAATTTATGATTTCGTGTTTCAAGTTTTATCATATCCGGAATGTTTACTAGACTCTTGTTCGTACAGATTTCAGTGAGTTATTCCTAAAAATTACAGCCTACAATAAAAAACTACATATTTCCATGCAAAAAAAATGGTAGCGCTTTCAGCACAAAAAATCGGAAAGAATCATACCGCCGAGGAGGTTAAGGGTTTTATGGGTACAAATGATTTTAGAAAATAACATAGTCTGTAGTCTGTGTAAGTAGTGTTTCCTCATAGTGTATTCCTCAATCTAGTATGTTTTAAATACTTTCTTCAGCATCCAGGCCCAAAGTATTAACTTCGGCTCCAACATTATGCAGCAGTCTGGTATAGAATGAGAGATTCAAAGATATTAGGGCTGATTTACTAAACTGGAGAGTGCAAAATCTGGTGCAGCTGTGCATGTTAGCCAATTGGCTTCTAATTTCAGCTTGGTCAATTAAGCTTTCATAAAAAAAAAAAAAAAAAACTGTAAGCAGATTTGATTCTATGGAGAGCTGCACCAGATTGCCTACTCTCCAGTTATAGTAAATCAATCCCACTGTGTTGTCTTGGTTTTATGCACCCATCGGAACTTGATTAGGTATACCTTGCTATTGCCAAGAAAATATCCCCCACACCATTACACTACCAGCCTGAACCATTGATAGAAGGCAGGATGGATCCATGCTTTCATGTTGTTTACGCCAAATTCCGACCCTACCATCTGAATGTCGCAGCAACCAAACTGCCCATTCTCCTCTGACATCAGCAAGGCATTTTCATCCACACAACTGCCGCTCACTGGATATTTTCTTTTTTTTTTTTCAGATCATTCTCTGTAAACCCTAGAGATGGTGTGTGAGAATCCCAGTAGATCAGCAGTTTTTGAAATACTCAGACCAGCCTGTCTGGTACCAACAACCATGCCATGTTCCAAGTCACTTAAATCCCCTTTCTTCCCCATTCTGATACTTGGTTTGAACTTCATCAAGTCATCTTCAGCATGTCTACATGCCTAAATACATTGAGTTGCTGCCATGTGATTGGCTGATTAGCAATTTGTGTTATCAAGCAATTGAACAGGTGTACCTAATAAAGTGGCCGGTGATTAGATAAACATGATGTATATTATCTTATCAAAATATGTTAACATAGAATTATTTTATTTGCAATCTCTGTATTAAAACATTGTACCAGATAGAAACCTTAAGTCTGTAAAGTGCATCTTAACCGAAAATACAAAAACTTGACATACTGCAGCTTACCAGTCCTTAGATATAACGACTGCATTTGTTTTCTTATTGCAAGTCTTTTCTCACTTTATTTTCACCTGGTGATTCTGTAAGTAACACACGTCCAGTCCTAGAATGACAACACTCACTCACCCTTCTGTGCCAGCAGAACAGAAAGAGGAGGCTACAGAACCCTTCCTTCTATTGTTCATTACATTTTTAGGGTGTGTTTCTGCACTCCTCATAGCTAACTAAGAACAATGTTACAGCACAGGAAGTTATCAGCTCACAATATGTTTGGCAAGATTGACAGTTTTTTTCTTTTTATTATCAAACATATATAACAAAACACTTTCAACTGTATATCTAACCACTTCCCATCCGACCCATGTATATAAACGCATTGCAGGAGCGGGTGGCCGTTTATAAACGTCCTCCCCGCTTCCCTGACTGTGCATACTCCCTGCACCACGCGCACTCTGTGTGAGGTCCCGATTATGTGATCACTGATTGGCCAATCAGTGATCACATGAATAGTAGTAAGCAAGATGTCACTTCTGACATCATTGCTTACTACGTGTGAAATCTGTGAATGATCACAGAGGTCACATAGTACAAGGCTATTCACAACAGTCTTGTACCATGTGACAAGCTGTGGCCAATCGCAGCTCACACAGTATTTCTCAATGGCTGCAAGAATGCAGCCAGAGAGAAGGAGAAATGATTGCTTTTACAGCCTTTATGGGTGTAAAAGCAATCGGTGTAAAAAAATAAAAAATCTTCATCACCCCCCTCAAGTAGTATAGTGTCACTATGGTGACACTGTACTGCTAGGGTAACAGTATGTTAAAAAAAAATAAATACATAATATAAAAAAATAAAATTTAAAAGTTAAAAAAAAAAAATTTAAATAATTTTTGCTTATAAACTAATTTTTTACTAAATAGATGAATACATTTTGGCTAAGATTTATGAAGAATGATTATTTATTTGTAAAATTTTATAAGAAAAACACTTTTTTTCAAAATGTTTGGACTTTTTAATTTATAGAGCAAAATAATAAAATCCCAGTGGTGAATAAATACCACCAAAATAAAGTTTTCTCTGTCTCAAAAAATGCTAAAAAATTCATATGGGTACAGTGCTGCATGACCGCGAAATTCTCATTTAAAGTGTGATAGTGCTGAAAGCTGAAAATTGGCCTGGACAGGAAGGGGGGGAAAGTGCCACACTCCAAAGACCTGCTGGTAGGTTAATTGGCTCCTGTCTAAATTGTCCCTGGTATGTGTATGTATGAATATGAGTTAGGAACCTTAGATTGTACACCCCTTGAGGGTTAGGGATTGATGTGAATGTACAATATATATGTAAAGTGCTGCGTAAATTGACAGTGCTATATAAGTACCTGAAATAAATAATAAATAAGTGTCTGGACTTGAAGTTGTTAACAGAACAAAAGGGACCACCTAAGAAAAGTTCTTTTTAGGGTTTAGATATGCTTTAAAAGCAAAGGTAAAAGTTGTTTAGGCAGGAAAAGTATTCATAGGGTCATTGTCAAGTTAACCAAAGCATACTGCCACTGCTAACTTGGGTCTGGGCATTTAGCTATTGTGTTCCTCCTCAAATTGGCTTATATGCAGCAAACAAATACAGTATATTATAACCTGTCATATTTCTATATTTTTTTAAATTTTATATTATTATATATATATATATATATATATATATATATATATGATACATTCTTACTGGAAAGTTGTTGGACTAAGGTGGATTTTATCTGGAACCCCATGACTCTCCATCCTGGAAGCTGTGTTCACAGTGTCTCCAAATAAGCAGTATCTGGGCATCTTATCACCAACAACTCCTGCTAATACAGGCCCTGTGTGAATCCCAACTCTGATCTGAAATAAAAAAAAAAGTAAGTTCTCAATGGTTATGCTATAAGTGTAAATTACCAGCACTGTACTTAGCTAGCAAATATGTTTTTATGTCGTTTGCATAGACAAGATGAAAACTTGTTCTTAATAGTTTTTGAAAAATGTCTTCTAAATTATTAATCCTCACAATCTGAATGTACTGCTCATCTATATCTGATCAAAAATGATATAAACATAAAATAGTCAGAAAAGAGGCCTTAGCCTTTAACCATTAGCCACCCGGCCTATAGCCGTTTGGCGGCGGCAAAAATGTATTACCTTTCCGGGTGCACGCCATTTGGCGTCCTCCCGCACATGCGCGTTCGTGCGGTTGCAGAGCCGCACAGCGGCGCGATCTGTCACCGGCCGTGTACCTCGGACACGGCCGATGACAGATCTGAGTACCGGTCCCCGTTGCCGGTGCCATGTGACCTGCTGTGACCAATCACAGCAGGTCACATGACAGTTGTATACAATGGATGGCTTCATTCATGCCATCCATTGTATACTAGTGCCTAGCTGTGAATGGTCACAGCAGGTCACATGCACATGTCATGTGATTAGCTGTGGCCAAATCACAGCTAAGCACAAAAAAAAAAAAAAAACCCTCAATGAATCGATGTCATTCAAGTAAATTGTGTAAAAAAAAAAAAAAAAACTGATACTGATCCCTTCCCCAAAGTAGTACAATGTTACTATGGTAACATTGTACTACTTTGGTCATAGTAAAATAATTTTTAAAAAATTTAATAAAAATTTAAAAATAATAAAAAAAAAATATATATATATATATATATTTTTTTTTTCATACTGTCACCAGTCAGTGTCCCTGTTCACTGCCATGCCAGTTATATGATGACGCTGTACTGCACTGGTGACAGTATGTAAAAAAAAAAATAGTGAAAATAATTTTTTTAATTTTTTAATTTTCCGAAAAATTATGACAAAAAAAATACAACTTCAAAAAACTCGCCATTCCTCTTATGAAGTACGTCGGACTGTCTACTTTGCAAAAAGGGGTCATTTGGGGATATCTGTACTGTTCTGACATTCTTGGACCTCAAGAAATTAGATTGGCTGTCAGTACTTCAGGATTGATCAATATTCAGATCTATACCATAGTTTGTGAACTCTATAACTTTCCTACAAACTAAATAATACATCCTAATTTGGGTTATTTTCACCAAAGACATGTAGCAGAATACATCTCGGCCTAAATTTATGAAGAACAATTATTTATTTGTAAACTTTTATAACAGAAACAAAGAAAAACTTGTTTTTTTTTTTTTCAAAATTTTTGGTCTTTTTTTGTTAATTTAGCAAAAAATAAAAACCCCAGCGGTGATTAAATACCACCAAAAGAAAGCTCTAGTTGTGTGAAGAAAATGAAAAAATTTTTAGTTTGGGTACAATGTTGTATGACTGCGCAATTGTTATTCAAAGTGTGAGAGCGCTGAAACCTGAAAAATGGCCTGGGCAGGAAGGTGTAAAATTGCACGGTATTGAAATGGTTAAGGATTGAAGTATAAGGCCTCCCAGAATGCAAATATCAATCATAGAATATGGGCTGTATTGGCATATGGTCTTTGCAGGTAAAGTACATACAGTACAAAAAGTGTCTTACACAGAAGGGTAGTTTTTTTTTTGTTTGTTTGTTTTTTGTTTTTTTTTTAAATTGGATAATTTTTATTACAAAGCTTTACCTTGCATACATCATGGACTTTTGTAAGATGGTGAAACCCTGAGTACATTGCAGTTGAGGATTTGGCTGGGCTCACAAGCAGAACATGTTTGTAAATGTCACTATATCAATGAAGATGGAAACTACTTGTTAATGGTTTTTGAAAATTGTCTTCTGAATTATTAATCCTTGCAATCTAAATGTGTTGTATATATGATGTCTAACCAAATATGAGTGCAACATGAAACGTGGTCAGAAAAGTGGATTTACTGTTTAAGAATTAAAGTGGGATTGAACTCAAAAACATAATATATTGCAGTTTACCAATCTTTAGATGTAGTGGCTGCATTAGTTTTCTTTTTTTTAGTTGTTTTCTCTGTTTTCACCTGGTGATCTGGCCAGTAACATACCTCCTGTATTAGACTCTGGATGAAGGAGCACAGGGGACAGCAGCATTGTCAGTCTGGGGGCAGGAGAGTGTTTAATGTACTAGCAGATTTAAATAAACTAATAAATTGAAGCTGCACTACAACTAACACTTTATGAGCAGTTACAGTAAACAGTTTTTTTTTTATCCTTTTGGGATAAAGGTTTTACATAAATAAAAGCTGATCATCGTAAGCATCCCTCTCAGTGGTAATGGTTTGTCTCAACCCTGTAATTGATACTTCTGCAGGACAGCTTGTTCTGTTGAAAAACAACAGATTTACTGGCCAGATTACCAGGTGAAAATTAAGGAAAGAAAGCCTAAAACAGAAAACAAATGCAGCCATCACATCTAAGAATTGGTAAGCTGCAATATAATATGTTTGCTGTTGGGTTTAACCAGTTAGGGACTGCAGCAGAGAGGCCCTACTGCCCCGGATCATGTACATGTACGTGATCCGCCGCTCCGACTGTGCTGTCATTCACCACAGCACAAGCTGATCAGCCGGTCCCAGCCAATGATATATGGCCAGGATCTGCTGATCGGCCAAGCGAATGAAGAAGAGAGCCCTGTGTTGGCAAACAACACAGGGCTGTCTACTGAGTGCAGAGATGTGGCTGTTTTTTTTTTTCCTCCCTGCAAAGCAGGGGGTAAAATCAATCACATTGCTTACTAAAAGCAGCACACTTTACAATTGTTAGACACACAGTTAACAATTTATTGCCCCTAGATGTTAACCCCTTCCCAGCCAATGTCATTAATACACTGACGGTGTATAATATTAGCACTGATCACTGTATTAGTGTCACTGGAGATGCCAGTGGTAGTTAGTTCCCACAAAGTGTCAGTTGATGTCAGATTGCCTGCCGCACTATCACAGCCCCACTATAAATCGCTGATCACAGTTAAAGACAAAAAAACAACCTGGGCACAGAGGTAGGTCATATATCCTCTCCTCTCAATGTTGAGTATTCAATCCCTCCGCACAGGTTCCTTTTTAAAGGTGAGATAGATTGGTAGAATGGAGAATTAGGTATTTAAGGGCACATAATCTGTTCACAGTCAATAAAATGGGGCACTTTCACTCCATGTACAATGCCCATTTAAGGCCTGAAGGGACGTAGGAGGGAGGAGTGGGAGAGTAGGAAGAATATTTAGATTTATACAAGATTCAACTCTTTTTTTTTTTTTTTTTTCTTTTTCTCTTCTTCTTAAAGGTGAGATAGATGGGTAGAAGGAAGAACTAGTTAATAAAGGGCATATAATCTGTCACAGTTAATAAGATTTTCCACTTCCACTGAATATGCAATGCCCATTTTGGGCCTGAAGGGAGGTAAGAGGGAGGGTAGGGAGAATATTTAGATTTATACTCAATTCACCTTTTTTCCCCTCTCACAATATTATCAATATCATTGTCACATTGAGATGGCCTGTAAATTCACAACATAAGTAATAGGTGGAGGTTGGGAAAACAGTGGGAGGAAGGAAAAGGGGAGTGTAAGAGAGGATATGGGGAGTAGGTGGTAGGGCCAGATAATTTTTAATATGTCATGCATTCCAATTTAGAGGACCTCCACCCTTCCTACTGTCCCCCTTTTTTTATTGTAAGGGGAACAAGGCGGGAGATTATGAAAATAGAACAGGGACTTGGGACATACACTTCTCTACAGTATGTTTGGTTGTTTTTGTTTTTTTTTTTTCTCTTTGTATGGGAGGTACGAGTTTTTAATGTTTGTAGAAATCTGTTTTTTGTATATCTGTTAGTCGCTGATCAACACCATTACTTCCGGAGCTTAAGTGGTTAATGTCACTTTAAGGATTTTTCATAAATGTATAACTAACTTGTTAAATAGATAGGTTAGAATTCAATAGCATGTAAGGCAATTTTCTGGGTCTGCTATCAGAGGGAATACAAATACCAAAAATGTCAGTCACCTGGATAGGATCTCCAGTTATTGGACTGATTACTTCTCTAGCTGCAATTCTCATGCCAAGGGCAAAATTTGCAACTCTCTCCACATGAGTTTCCACAGGTACCGGAACACCTCCCACTACCATATACGCATCCCCTATGGTTTCTACCTGTAAAAGAAACATATTAGTGGAGTTTCTTTTTTTTAATAGATGTACATTTTACTGCAGAGTTTTCCATATCTACATTATTTGTGATAACTCATAACACACCAGAAAGACATCTTTAGTTTAACATTACCAATTAATTTTTAAAGTAATATTGTGTATTATTTGTCATAATATTTTTACATATATATTTAAAAGGAGTCCAATGCTTCTGTATTTGGTGCACACTTTCATGGTCCTCTTGTCCTCCCATAATGCAGTGCTCAGTGCCTGAGTGGCCAGTTGGAGTTCATATATGGACTGGGGGGCTTACAAATTCCAATTGTAGGACATGGTCCATATTGGCATAGGATCTTTGCAAGGACTATAATAATGATGTGGGTATCAGAGATGTGCAGATACTAAAGGGTGACTTTTACATGGAAGGGTAGGTTCTTTTTTTTTTATTTTAAATGGTTCATTTAAATTCTGAAGCTTTACCTTGTATACATCATGGACATTAGTAAGACGGTCAAACCGTGAGTACATTGCATTGAGCATGTTGACGATTTGGATGGGCTCACAAGCAGAACATATGTTTGTAAATGTCACGACATCACTGAAGAGTATTGTGCAAGTCGAAAATTCTCCTGCATGGGACAAATGATCAGTTAGTATACATCAAGACATGTAGCTATAGAGGGGTGCTAAGGGAGAAACTGGTCATGTGCTCTTAAGGTGAATGGACAACTGATTTAGAAAATAAATCAGTGTTTCTTTTTTCTATTCTGTTAGAGTCTCTAGTAAGCCTGTGAGGTTTAAAAAAAAGTTGAAAATATAACCAATATTTTTCCAAACATAGTTTCTAGACTACATAATAAAGTCAAAGTGGTTTTTGGAAAAAAAAATATGCATACTTGATAGAATAGAGTGCTGGTATTTTGTCCCACCTTAAAGTGATTGTAAACCTTTAAATATACCCATAGTACGCCGCTTGTTATGGGGGAACTCATGTGTGCTCTCTTCCGAGTCCTGCTCTGTGTCCATAAACTTCCCCCCCCCGGTCACTCCCTCCCCACTGGCTGTGATTGAAAGCAGTGGGGGGCAATGGCTCCCATTGCTGTATCTGAGTCAATGAGGAGGGAGAGCCTCTGCTGTCATTCACTTCGCTAGACTGGGATCAAGCTCTGGTGAGTATAAGCAGGGGCAGGGAGGGGAGAGAGGAGCAGCATATTGAATGTTTTTTTTTTACCTTAATGCAGAGAATTAATTAAGGTAAAAAGAACTTCAGGCTTCAGAACCACTTTAAACTGAATAGGTTGTTTTACAAGGTGAGAGTTTACATACACTTTAAGTCTCTAGGTCAGCCTTTCTCAACATTTTTATCCCAGTAGAACTCTTGAAATAATTTTCACATCACAGGGAACCCCTGCTAAGATTAGTCCATTGGGGGTCTTTAGGAAACTGCCCCTTACATTAGTGGTCAGTGGGAAAAATGCCTTCCTTACAGTTGTGGTTAGAATGCCACCCTTACAGACAGCTTACAAAATCAGTGTTGTCATGCAACTGGATCTGGACCTGGATCTATGAAAGCACTATCAGATGGGAGGTCACTTAGCCACAGCTCAAGGAACTTCTAGCAACCTCTGGAGGAACTGTAGGGTTCCATGAAACCCTGGTTGAAATGATTACTCTAGGTCTTCTTCCTTAGCTGAGTAATAGAGGAAATGAAGAGCAGGCAGATAAGCACTTTGGTGATCCAACTACTCTAGACCATGGATTTTCAACCCTACACATTTTGTGGAATATCTCTAATACAAGGATTAAAGTGAGTACAGTAATACCTTGGTTTACGAATTTAATTCGTTCTGCAAAACCTTTTGTATAGCGAAAAATTCAGAAACTGAAACACCGTTTCCCATAGGAATGCATTGCAAACCAATTAATTCGTTCCGGAGGTCAGAAAAAAGTAAACGCTACTAAAATACTGCATGAGTTATTTTATTAAGTCATGCAGTATTTTAGTAGTGAAAACCATGTGTTAATGTTTCAGCGTGGGATTCCCCCTCCCATCTATACCAAGCCCTTCGGGTCTGGTATGGATTTGGAGGGGAACTCCCTCACCAAAATTTTTTAAAATATGGTGTGGGGGTCCTCCCCAAAATCCTTACCAGACCCTTATCCGCGCATGCAGCCAGTCAGGTCAGGAAAAGGGGGGTGAACGCCCCCTCGAAACATACCAGGCCACATGCCCTCGACATGGGGGGGGTGCTTTGGGGAAGGGGGCTCTCCCCCCAAGCACCTTGTCCCCATATTGATGGGGACAAGGGCCTCTTTCCCACAACCCTGGCCGGTGGTTTTGGGGGTCTGTGGGTAGGGGGCTTATTGGAATCTGGAAGCCCCCTTTAACAAGGAGGCCCCCAGATCCTGCCCCCCCCATGTGAATGACTATGGGGTACATGGTACCGCTACTCAGTCACAAAAAACAAGTGTAGTGTGAAAAAAGACAGGACACGGTCTTTGACAAGTCCTTTATTAAAAGAAAAAACGAAAAGAATGTCCCCCACAGTAGATCCAACGGCAATCACGATGCCCGCCGCCGACCCGAAAAAAGAAAAAAAAAAAGGTTACGTTCCCGACGATGGCTGCCTGCCCTCTGCCTGCCACAAAGCACCCCCCCCCCATGTTAAGGGCATGTAGCCTGGTATGGTTCGGGGGGGGACACTCACTTGTCTCCCCCCCTTTCCTGACCTGCCGGGCTGCTCGGATAAGGGTCTGGTATGGATTTTGGGGGGACCCCCATGCCATTTTTTTTTATTTCGGCATGGAAGTTCCCCACAAAATCCATACCGGACCCGAAGGGCTTGGTATGGATGGGAGGGGTGACCCCCATGTCATTTTTTATTTATTATGGTGCTGGTTTTAAAGCTCAGAAATTCAGCTGTCACTTTCCCCCAGCTAAAAGAGATAAAGTTTTTTCTTTTAGTTTATTTCCCCGAGTTAAGAAACTAATAGGGAAACATTGTTTCTTTTAACAGAAACAAAGTTTCCTGTAACTCCAAGAAAAGTGACAGCTAATACTGTGAGCTGTAGTGAAGAAAAAAAAGCCAGCAATTGCATTTAAAAATCAGCACCGACATACACTTCGTATTGTGAAAAAAAATGTGTAAAAAACTCGTAAACCGAAGCATTATTTTCAATGGATTTTCATTCGTAAACCAAAACTTACGTTAACTGAGGCATTCGTAAACCGAGGTACCACTGTACTTCCAAAACGCATATAGGTGCAATATTGTCTTAGGGTCCCCTTCTCACCTATACAAATTAGGTAGCACCCATTATGAAATGTGCATATCACATGTATGTACTGTATTTGTGTGATATAAATGCATGGTAATGTGCATTTATGTTATTGGGTAAAGCAAAGTCATGGAGCAACTTACAAAAAAAAAATTTTATAGCTCACATGCACTAAAAATATACATTTATACATGATACATATAGATTTGTGCATTTGCCAAATAAATGGGCTTGGTTAACAGGCCCATGCATTGGCACACACAGAAATGTTACAAGTCCTAGTTTTATTGAAATAATCTGAGCTGCAGCTTACACATGTGAACTAGTCACATGAAAATAAAGGGGATATCTACTTGTGTTTTCAACTCATGTGTTTTACTGAAGGAAAACAGGCGAGTGTAAACGGGGCATAAGAAAGGGTTTCAGAACTTCTGATCTGGAGAGACAGGACTGACTATTGTCAGTGGCAAAATCACTTTTAACTTCATTAAATGTTAGCATTCTAATAATAAAAAGGACAAAACAGGACAAAGATAAATTATTGAAGGAAATACCTGCTTGGACTTTCTTGCCTTCCTTTAGCTGAATGGCCACATGAGGGGGAAGCATGGCATAAAGTAAGGTCTCTGTCTTCTTCTTCTCGATCTCCAGGTTTTTAGACAGGATACGTAACTCTTCCTTCTTCCTTTCCAGCTGGTTGGACAGTTCTATCTCAGCCAGTCTCTGGTGATTCAGTAGAATCAAGTCTCTGGTTACATCATGTTTTGCTATATCAGATATGTGCATTTTTCTCTCTTCTAGTTCCTGTAGGCTCCGTAGCTTTGGAGAACACATGTAGATCATACATTGTATGGATTCCATCCAAATCATGTACCCTTGTAAGAATGGAAATGGAAAGATTTAGAACAGTTTAATGGTCAATGAACATCTAATTGGTGATGGTAAACTGAAGTTGGAGCCAATTTTATAAAACATTTTAGTCTGAATATATATAACAATCTTGTAAAGTGTATCATTATGTTTTTATAGTAGCAGTTCCACCACATAACATGTGGAGGATTGTAATATCAGTTATATAGCATGACTTCTTTGAAAGTATTCTATGTTGAAATTTAAAAATGGTAAATTACCAAATCCCCAAACTGATATCATCTGTGAAAAAAGAAAAGGCTAGTTCATTTAGTTCCTTACAGAAACATTGTTTTGAGCGTTCAGTTTGGGGAAGAATTGGGACACTTACAGGCAGCTTAAAGGTGGTCTTAGAAGGGAAAATTAAGCATAATGGCACACCGCCTGCAGTGAAAGTCACACCCGCACTGGGAACCGCACTTTAGTGCGTTCCTAGTGCAGGCTGCAATTTCTGGAAAGGTGCAGGGACCTTTTCCCTGCGTTTTGCATATCACAGCAGCCCATTCAAATTAATTTTCAAATGAATGAACTAGTGTGAACCAAGGCTAATGCAGAGCTGCACCAGATTTTGCACTGTCCAGTTTTAGTAAATCAACTACATGGAGTTTTTGCAGTGGGATGAGGAAATAAGAGCAATTGTTCAGTGCTGACTTCTGGTGCATAAAATAGAGCCCTCTCTCAAAGTGATATTTTAAAAATGTGCTGCAATTTATGTCCGGAAACTTATGTCATGGGGTCATTTAAAGTAATCATTTTTGCAAAGTAGGCACGCTTATGTCAGTACAGGCTGGTTCTGTGAAGCAGGAATCATAAAAATACACAGTACAAAAAATGTAAATAATGCAGCCCTATTACCCAAGTTAATCGCAGAAAGAAGACAATAGTCATCCAGTTCTACAGAAACTGAAGAAATAGGGACATCTGTGTCAGTCAGCAGACCTAAATTTAGTAGAAGGTTGTTGCGTAGATGGATTTTATTTTCTACCAACAGTATCAGAGTATAGTTTACAGATCATTATGCTTGCAAAAGACAAGTGTATATACCATATTCCTCTCAAGGGGATGGGGAAATATCTTGCAATAGGATTGCTTACTGAAAAATGGCTACCATCAACTCTGGCCAACTCGAAAAATCATAAATTACATTTAAATACAGTATATACTATATATTTGTTTATTGTAATTTGTGTAAGAAGCAGTGGTGTCTGACTAAAGTATTACAAATACAAGACAACTCTGTACACAGATAAGTACACAATACTACATACCTCTGAGTTTCAACATTGGTTGCTTCTTCCAGGACTCTGGCATCATTTCCCGCTTTGTTCTCAACACAAATTGACTGTTGGTAAAAGTCTGAATGTTGGCAATGGTAAATGTGACTTGTGGATGCACAATTGTGAAATATTCATCTAGCCTGATGTCCATTGTCTGTATTCCAGGGACGTATTTCTGTATGTTCACTCCAGCCTGTTTTACCCTTAGCTGTACAATGAAAAGATAACACAACCTATATATTGTTTCATTAAAGAAAAAGGACTCAAACCCAAAAAGGGATCAAGTCTCATTTGCAGATCTTCATACTGACTTGAAGGATTATATAAGTGCATTAAGCACTTGTAGACCAGGGCTTAGGGATGATGGCTTAGACATATAGCACCAAACCACAACATTTTCTAATTGAGTTTTTTTCTTGATACTTGTCATTTTCTGTCTGCCACTGTACATTCTTGGGTAAATCTAGTCCTTATCAGAGGTAAAGGGCTCTTGGAAGGCATCACAGAAATAAAGCTGGTCATTTGAACGATCGTACAGAAATTCTGAAAAACCATTTGTTAGGACATTCTTTGTCCATGTGTGGGGCTGATTTACTAAAGGCAAATAGGCTGTTCACTTTGCAATAAAGTTGCACTTTAATCGGGAATTTTCCACAGAGCTTAGTGAATGTGGTAAAATGTCACTTTAAAAAATATACCCAATCATCTGGGAAAAAAAAACAAATTTTTGCTTGAACATGATTAGATGAAAGTCAAAAGAGCTTCACCTCATTTACTAAGCTTTGGGGAAGTCTCCCTGCTGTCAGAATACAACAGCTCAGCAGATGAATAAGGGAATTGGGTCATTTTTTTTGTACAACCTGCTGGGTGAATGAAAAAACTTAGGCTGCCTTAGCCTGTTATATTTTGGATTTGTGATTGGTGGCAGGTAAATCAAGTAAATTTTTCTATTAAACAAAAATGTACTGGATGGTATTTTCTTTTTATAACCAACAAGTCCTTATTTTGTGAATTTGTGTTTAAGTAACAGATAAAACCTACAAAAAAAATTTTGCAAGAAAGTATTTTGCTTATCCATACCATCGCACTTAGAGGGGGTTGTTGGGAATGTTTGATGTGCACTTCCCAACTTATATATTTATAGAGAAGCATAACTGTCAATCTGAAGTGAGTCATGTGTGTATTGAATCTAAAGGGACCACTGAGGAATTACTTTCCAAAAGTGTGCTTGTAAGTTTTTCATTTATTAAAAAAATGTCCATGCACTGTTTAACTCATGTAAATTATACATATTGCTTCTTGCATGTTTTAGAAGTGGTTTGTTTGGCTAGGATATGAGATATTTCAACCAGTGTCAGTACGTTTTAGCTGACTTAAACTGTTAACGAACAGGAGACAATTATAACTAGTGATGCTACATAATTATATGTCTTGATTATTGGGAGATTAGATAATTTAAAACCTTTACCTCTTTCAGACTTGGCAATCACTGCATATTCTAAATCTAGTAAACAAATAGCTGCCTATGCTCCAGCCTATACTGGCTCAGATAGCACATGGTTGGCTCAGATTAGCTCACAGCACAATGCTTTCCTAGTTACTTTAAAAATTAAAAATATTTTTACTTTTACCTCTTTATCAAATACAATATGGAAAGGAAATTCATTACAAAATGCCTTTTCATCCATCCACAATCTGTCTGGGTATACTGGTTGGAAAGAGTTTAACAAACTTCCTGAAGAAAAGTAAGCAAAGTGAAAACAATTCATAATAACTGATTTTTACTGTAAAAAAAGTCTGCATTTTTTTTTAAATTAGATATTTTATTTAATGTAATCAGTTTAATGCTCTTCTTTAGTGCCTACATTGTGTTTGCACCTTACAATTAAATATAAGTCTTTAGTCTGCCGTGACTGAGAAAAATACACTTGCTATGTAACTTATCGTGTTATTAATTTGATCTCAGCTGTTATACAATATTTACTTTAAGCTGCCTCTAGATATAGACACAAGGGGGCAATTGTTCATGCATGGACAATCTGACTATTCTTGGGTTAATTTGTCTGCAGAGTGCTAAACCTGTAATGTTGACTTTGCTGACCTCACAGTCTTAATTCATCAGAGCATCCAAGGAACCAGGGTCAGCAAGGTGTTGCAAATTTCTTGAGAAAAACAAAAGCAAACAATGCAAATTTAAAATGTATCTAATAACTTTCCCCAAGAAGGATCAGCCTCCCCCCCCCCCCCCCCCCCCACACACACAAACTTGCCTTCAAAATTTACAAAAAATGCCTTCAAATAAAAATTGTATACTTATGTTTTGAAACCTTTGACACTAACATGATCACTTCTGAAAGAGAGGATCAGCTAATCTAAACTTTGAGCTTCACTTTCAGTAGAGATTACATGTATCTTAAGACTGCCATACTTCTAAAGATTTTTAAAGCTTTGGAGGTATTCCCTATGTAACATCAGTGTTAAGTTCATAGGTAATATTAATAGATGTGAGCTGGGTGCAATAGGAGATCATACAAACTGCAGGTCACTCACCTCTTCCGAAGATGACCACATTTCTTATGATATCCCAGTGGGACTTCTTTACTGGACAGCAAGAGGATCTCTTATGTACATCCCTGCTTATTTCCATATCAATATTATCCTGTAAAAAAAAGAATAGGCAGCTGTGTATTATTATGAAACATTGTCTAATGTAAAAAATAAGAAATACAGTAATTTCCTATAAACTCATGTTCTGTAAAGTTCTACTGACACAATTCTTATGTAACTGCCAGGTTAAAAATACTAAAGTACAAAAATGGCCAGCACACCAAAATGTAATGATCTCAAACTTTACTGAGGTATTAGTTGTAGTAACAGGATATTTAGCACATCAAAACCAACATTTCTGAGACATGGTGGCCTCCTTTCGCAAGGTGACATATCAGTAAAGTTTTGAAGTCTTTGCCCATTGGTGTGCTTCCCTTTTTTGTACCTTGGATTTTGTGATATTACCATTGACCATGCACCCCCCCCCCCCCAAATAAGTGTCTAAAAAAGGTACTTTACAGGATGTATTTTTGTTCAGGTTATAAAAACTGCCAGCTTCCTTAATATGGCCCTTGGCATCAATGTAATACGAATTTACGATGGTCATGATGTACAACACTGAATGGATAGCTATCTAGACATGGAAGGGTTCAAGGCAACAATGAGTATTTATGTGCCTCATGAGGATTCAATAATAATTGAGTACTATCCGTGATATTATTTTATTTGCACTAACATATAGCTTTTAAGGACAAGCGTTTGGGGTGTACCTCCTTCTACAAGGTCCAAGCAGCACTAATGTACAAAGTTTTAGCAGAATGGTAAAACAAGACAATCTCTGAGGGAAAAACAAACAAATGTACACAGCAATGGTAATTAAACTAGCACAGTTAGTGAACTAGCTATAGACGGGGGGGGGGGGGGGGGGGGGGGGGGGGGGGGCCGTAACAGAGGGGGTCGTAAAACTGTTGGATAATAATTTAGAAAACCCAGGTCTAGATTTAGGTAATTATCTTTTGTGTCAAATAGAACTATCATTTTTAGTTCAGTTCCTTTCCTGAATAGTTTTGAAATTCCCTATAAGAACCAAGACATTGAGGTCTTCCATAGTGTGGTCTGGTTGTGAGAAACGATATCCGATAGGTGTGCAGAAACATTCTTCCTTATGTTCCTTGTTCATTCTTGTTTGTAACTTCTGTTCTGTTTCACAAACATAAGATCGTTTGCTACATTGGATGAGGTACACAACAGTACTGGAGGTGCAGCTGTATGATCCGGTGATATTGAAGGTCCTTTTTGAGTATGTGCCACTTTTTTATAGATTGACTTGGTTGCACAGTTTTAATCTTTTTTTATCTCAGGGTTTCCATTACATGGAACTTCATGATCGGAATTAGGTTTTCCTGTTGATTAGTTTGTCTGAGGTTGCGTGGTTGTCTGAAAGCCAGTATTGGGGGTTACTGGAATATTTCTTTTAGAGTTTCATCCTCTCTTATGATGGATAAAAATTTGATTGTCTTTCTTATCCTTTCTAGTGCTGGATTATATGTGGTTACTACAGGTACACAATTATTTGTTTTTTCTCTTTGTAATGGAGTAGATTTTCTCTTTGGGTTTTCAAGCTTGTGATTATGCTGGTGCTGATGGTTTTGTCCTTGTAGCCTTTCTTATGGAAGGTGTCTGCTAGTGTTCTAAGATGTTTATCTCTGTCTTCTGGGTCTGAGCATATTCGGTGGTATCTGATGGCCTGTCTGTGTATGATGACCTTGAAGAAGTGGGTACGCCTTGAAAGCTTGTCCTGAAAAATTGTATGTTAATGCAAATGAAAAAAGTATCACGGACACTACTCAGTTGTTTCTGTCGCAAGTGCGCTAATACAGCTACAATCACCTCAAGGAGGATTCAATAACAAACACTGACATTTTCTAATGTTTGCCTAGAATTCCCTAAGGTAAAAAGGGAGTATCATAATCAAATTAACCAAAAAGACTACAGCAGGTTGCTGTGCTCTTATAATGAGCAAGAAAGAGCAAATATCTCACCTTCCCTTACCCATTGCCATGAATGAGACATCTACCTACCTGTGTCCATGGTTACTGTAGGTATTAGATGGCAGGTCTGGGTTTTCAACTTCAGAGCTAGCCTACTCTCCTAAGAGTGGTCTTTCAATTTTTTAAACAGCAAAATGATCTCTTATATTATTATTGATTACCAACTTATTCGCTATAATCAATGAGCACAACTTGGTCCCTAGCTATGGCATTTAAGTAAACCTGTGCTAAATTCAGAAAATTAAAAGCATGAGCTGTTGCCTGAGTCTGACAGCTAATACCTTTTTTAGATTAATGGTCCTTATAGTGCTGCCCATTTCAAAATCTCTATTTACATAACAATTTGCACAAAATGCCATCCCCCACTTTGCAGTGCCAAGGCTTCACTCATTGTATTATGAGATGAGTCCAAGGGACAAGCATGGTCTACACCAGTATTTCTCAACATTTTTTTCAGTCAAGGCAACCTTAAAAATTCTGCACCCCATTGTGGCACCCCATTTTAAAATATAAAAAAACTAAACTAAAAGTTTTACATGACACAGCAACAACTGCACACACAGGATACTGTTCTCCCTCAATTTATTTCCTTCTTTCAGCTAATATGATCCCAGTGCTGACGGAGAGGGGCAAACAACAATGCTTTGCAGGTGCCCAATGTCTTCCTTATCAACCAATGACAACATTGGTTGTTAGGACGCTGGCAGCTAGAAGGATGTAACGGGGCACAATTAAAGCCTGTAGCTTTGAGTAACTAAAAGGCAGGCTTGATCCACCCGCTGGCTTGTATTCAATTTTTAGGCTATTTTAAGGCATTTTTTGCCAAAGCACCCCTGGAGACACCTGAAAGCACCCTGGTTGAAAAAGGCTGGTCTACACTACTACAAAATGGAAACAGTGCAGGGGGCTGCAGATAGCACTGGAGGGTCTTGTTGAAGAAAAATTGACATGCTGTAAGCTGCCAGAATTACATCATAGCTTGTGTTGTCTAAGCTTACCATAGGTTTACATTAATATTGGTCTTAGTCCCTGGTCATACTGGTGCGAATTGTCATTCTGTTTCAAATCGCATGACAAGTTGCACCCTATTGTCCGCAATGGAAGCAGTCAAATAGTCGGAGTCACACCGATTTTTAAAGTAGTTCATGTACTACATTTTGGAAGTTCAGATGCGACTTTCTCAGACGTCTGTGCATGAAGCCACACAGATGACTTTTAAGTGGCACCTGAAGTCACATTGCATGATTTCCAAGTCAGATTCGGTGTGAATGAAGTCTTACTGTCAAATAATGGAACCCTGTATCCACAATAGACACGCTTAAGTGATACTAAACCCAGGACCCTGCATTCACTATATCTGGTCTCCCACAGTACACACAGCATGGAAATGCAATTATTTTAGTAAATATAAACTGCAAAATACCTTTTCTCATCAGCAGTTAGAGCAGTCTTGTGACCAGCAAAGCACTGGTTAAAACTTGTAGGAGGAGTTTTCTTTCTGCTCTAGGAAGATTTGAAACCTCTGTCTGGACAGTGCTGATTGGCCCTGTGCTGATCACATGCACCCTCCCAAAAAAAAAAAAAAAAACCTCTAGCAATACACACCAAACTGAGCATGTGCATGTTCAACCGCAGGTTCAGTCTCTATCATGGTCATTTGAAGAAAGGATCAAACAGCCTTTTTACACAGTGCAGAGGATTAACCCCTTAGGTTCCACAGTGAGTATAACAAGCATGCTTTGCTGCATATACAGACTGATTTTACTGTTGTGGGTTTTGTAACAATTTAAAAAACTGTTAGTCAGTTGTTAAGGCTCTTTATACATCTGTGATAATAAATGCTACCTGATCTTGAGGAAAGCAGTTTTTTGCTTCTATTTTTTGCCTTGGCTTTATTGTTTTCTTCTGAACTTCTGTATTCTGCAGAACTTCAAATATAACATGTTCACGCTTCCCAGTGCGATCCTTCTCCTCCGTCTGATAGATAATGTTCATGGTTATTTCGCTGTTAAAGAAATCTTTTGCCACAGATTCGATTATCCCTGTGAGAGCAGGTAAAATAATCAGGGCTTCTAAAGGGTGAGGAGATTAAAAATTCAACAGAAATGACATAAAAACAATGCAGTCAGATGGGCATTGTACTATCAGCCAAATTTGCATAGTTTTACGTCCACTTTTCTAACAAAGCACTTTTCAGGGGGTCTTAACATGCTGTCTAATAGGAACCAGAGAAAAAGCGGAGTTCCACTCACTCTTTTAAAAATATAAAAGGCAGCAGCTACAAAAACTGTAGCTGCTGACTTTTAAAAAAGAGCCACTTACCTGTCCCACAATCCCGCGTTGCCCACGCCGTCCTGTATTCCAGGCGCCGGCATCTGCAGTGTGGGCACCCGGCTGTGACAGCTTGCGGCTTCACAGCCGGGTGCCCACTGCGCATGCGCGAGTAGCGCTGCGCTTCCTGAATGGCCCCATCGTCTTCTGGGACCTGTCACGTGTCCCACAAGACTTCGGGGAGGGAGGATAGGAGGACAACTTCTGTTTCTGATCCCCTAGGTGATTGCAGCGGAAGTGGGAGCGGATACCTGTCAAATTCGGTACCCGTTACCCCCCTGCTCCCCAAAGGTGGCAATCCTTAATGGGGAGCGGGGGACCAATCTTTAAAGCGGAACTTCCCCTTTTGGGTGGAACTCAGAATCCAAATTTAATTCAAAGTTTGTCATTATACTAACGTTTCTTCGATTTTCTAATCATTAGCGGGGTCAAATCAAACAATAATTTTCGATTGTAGTGATTACAAAATTTGAAGAAGCAGGATTAAAATGTTTTCTTGAATGAACAAATTTCTAATAGTGTATGTGGTTCTTGCCCAAGAAAGTGCATTCATTCCAAACTCAAATTTTAAAAATAAATTTTGAAATACTTCCGAAAGACATTCGTCAAGACATCAGATGTACTGAGAATTTTCACATAAATGTACGCATTTTTGGACAAATGTCGATTCAAAAATCTAATAGTGTATTGCCAGCATTAGACCCAGTACTCTCAGTAATCAGCACTCATTAACAGAACTGGTGTTGCATTCCCCCTTTCTTCTTTTTCCTGTAAAAGGACTCCCTTTTGATCAAGGGTGTGACTGTTAGAGTGCTAGAATACGAATGTGTGAATGCAGGAGGTGGATTTACACCTAACCTGAAGTTGATACCACCTAAAGAAAAAAACAAACTATTGTATGGATAATGTTTATGCTCTAGACTTTCTCTTAAATATATCAGAGGGCCACGTGCAGATGGTCCACTAACCATATTATGCTTAGATTGACAGACATACATCTCTTCTAGCATATGTTGTATTTACTAGTTAGCCAGTCTGGGACTGCACAGTGCCATTATTACTACAATGTTTATATATATTCTGACCACACCAAATACAGGAGAAAGCCTATACCTGGCACTATATGGAAAAATCCACTTCTGTCCGAGTAGTAATGAAGAAACATGGTGCCATCATTTCTTTTCTCCACTCGAAAAGATGGTGCATTCATTTCCTGTGGAATATAGGTGGTTATTAACATAATATTGCTGTGATATAGTTACAAATGATTGACCAGCAATCAGTAGACACAAGGACATCAAACAAATGAGCGTGCATTTATCACTGGGGAACAATAGGCTAAAACTGGAAAAGCTACAATTTCTGGGGAATTGTGTGAAGTGTTCTTGCCTGCTCGCACACCTGGGTTCCTATGGCAACTCACTCTACAGCAAGGGCAGAGAAGAGCGGTTAAAAACAAACTGCTCCAGCTTGCTCACTTCACTGGCGGTTGCCATCTTCAAATGGTTGTAGTTTAAAAATTATAAACCCTACACCGAAGAGCTTTATATTGTGAGAATCACAAGACCCAGACCTACATTTTGATGCATAGTATGTTTCTGAAATATTAAAAATGAAGGCACAGTCGCAGTTTAGAAATTGCCCTTCACATTTGAGGTGGCTAGAGTGGAGTTTCAATGAATGTCAATGGGCGGCGTGAGTTGCAAACAAATGGTCATATTGTGAAAACTATCAGGACTATGGCTTAGCCGTGGACATTTTTAGTGGCAGCAGGGATAGCTGAACGTTTTGATATAAGATTTGTGTAGGTGGGCTTGAAAATGAGGGAGTGATGGCAGTTTAGAAATCATGTCCTGATTTTTCTGCTCACACTCTAGCTTTTGTCAGCTCCCACTCTAGTTTTGAACATTCCGCCATTCATTCCTATGGGACCAATTTCACCACAAAAACGGCGATATTTTGTGAACCATTCGGCGAAACGTTCCGCAAAGTAATAGCACACCAATCGGGAACAATCCGCACGTTTCGGTGTATTACTGTCTATGTAGTGTAAAAACTGTGGGAGGAGTTAGGGTGGTAAATTTGGCTATAATAATAAGAATATATATGTGAGATAACAGTAAGTGATCTTGCCATGCAAGAACACTTAATAATCTAACCCTGCTTATAGAATTTTCCCCAAGGTCAGTTGGCATGTTTGCTGAGGTCTGTAGTTTCAATGTGGTTTTGTCATTGATGTGTTTATGCTTGGTGAATTGTGGGCCACTCGTCGTGCATGTGAGGAGTATCTTTTGCCATGCACATTGCTCAGCAATTCTGGGAACCAAGCGGGGACCATGTTCCTGTGAAAGTTAAACATGGCAGTTCCCTGACTTAGAGATAAGCAGTGCACTGTTTGTAGTTGTGTAACATGCAGTTTCCCTGTAAAGCCTTCCGCTCCATTTCACTACACACCTTTCTCATAGTTGCATTGAGGAAGGACACCACTGAGCCAATGCCCTCTCCACCTGTCCAGCATATCTCTGCCTCCTCACTCTCAGTGAGAGAATAGGGTCCCATTGAGCGAATAGCATGGATCTCATGCGGTCCTGATATTTTTTTGGGAAGCCGTCCACTGGGGAGGGAGTAAGATCACCGACCCTCTCGCTACCGGATGACTCTCCGCCATGCTAGGTATCACACTTTTTGACTGTCTTCTGTACACTTCACACCATTACTTGGTTACCCTTAGCAACTGCATTCCTCCTCCATTTGACTTGCAGAGTTAACCCTTTTTGTACTGGCCTTACTTCATACCCCATATGTGCATTACTGACCCCGTTCTTTCATATTCCAGAGACCATCATTCACCCCCTTTTAGAATAACTTCAGACCAGCCTTCAAAAAGGTAATGAAACTTTACTGCAATTCTTCAAGGCAGAACAAACAACAAGCATCACAAAGTCATGACCCTAAGCTCACCAATAGAGGTAGTTGCCCAGGCATACCCTCGTAGGTGTAAGTACATAGCTGGCGAGCCCCATGACTGGTAGAGTATCTCAGTATCTTGAGCTGATCACATACTGATCCAGGTGCTCCAGAGTTCCTCGTACTCATGTCTTTCTTCTACATCAAGTTCATCTGGTCACACTTTCCCTCTCAAACTGGACCTTACCCCTATTTTATATATCACACGGGCCCAAGACAAAAAGCCCCCCAAAAACTGAGATGCTGGAGTTAACCCTTACCCCAGTCTGGGCAGGCATAACTACCTGATTAGTACAGAAAAAAACCCACACTGTAGGCAACCTGCCTATACTTTTTCAGGTTATGACTATGGATTTCACCAATAAAAACAGCCCCCACCTCCTATGGAATTTTGTGGGCAGAAGGTCATGTGCTTAATTGTCAGCACTTCCGTATTAGACTGAACCTAAAGAGAAAGGGGAGGTGGCTGTGTGCAATTTAAGCAGCAAAGAATCCTGGGACTCTCTATACAGGAACCTACAATGATGGCTGAGTATGACAAGAGAAAAATGCTGAAAAAATAGATGCAATCAACAGTATTTATGGAAGTCAATAAATAACACGTAGAATGTTATATGAAGCATTACCTTATAAGAGAGCGTCAGAAAACTGTGAAGGGCATCTAGATTCTCAATAAATTCTGTTAGATTTCCCCCCAATGTTCTTAACATTCTGTCATATCCAGACTGCTTACAAAAGGAGAAAAAATATTCTCCAAATAGCTTTAATACTTCTTCCTCTGATACATCTGAAAATACAATGATACATTTACACTGTTAAAAGTTATGAATTTTCCAGTATGGTTTACAGAGTTAAAGTGTATCTAAAGCCAAAACCCCATGTAAGGTTTAATTCCTGTCTGCGTCTCTGCTCGGGAGAGTCACCCTTTTTATTTGGCCTGGTTACCACTGTCATTGGATCAGAAAGCAACCAGAAATCTAAAAGTTTATAGTTGTCACTGGGACATAAATAGAGGAAATATCTGCCAATGGACACACCTATGTCACTGACAGCAGTCCAATATGGGATTTCCTTACTTCTTGGGGAGATTCCTCTTAACTTCCTGCTGGGCCTCCAGGACAGAAAATAAAGGGAAATCTCCTCAATGGCACACAGACAGTTTTGTTGTACTGCCTAAATAATAAAGCAGGTTTAGGCTTTACATTCACTTTTTTTTTTCCTTTTATGTAGCACCAGCAATTTATGTCCAAGCCATGAATCCTCAGTGCCTGGTGATAGATGGATTTAAGGTAGGACAGTCAACCTGGAAAGAAGGAGAATGTGCAATGAATTAGGCATGGAGCAATGAAAAGAAGGCGGGGAAGCATATCAAAATCAAGTAAAAAGAAAAAAAAAAAGAAGAGAAGGTAGGGCATTGGAAAGGAAGGACACACTGGAAGGGCAGGACAGGAAGGGAGCACCAGAAAGTGGAGAGAAGGAGATGGTAAGGGGTAATGGAAGAGGACTTTGTTTGCATAGTAAATATCAGGGCTTTAGTATTGTGATGTGGTGATAAATTCAAGTTTATGCAAAGCTGTGTTTGATAATATTAATAGTACAGCCTCATGCACACTGGACATTTTTAACGTGGTTGTTAGGGGCATCTGGCGTTTTTTGTTCTGCCTCTTCTAATGCCCTTGCATATTAACGTACAGTATGTGTTCATACACACATAAGCATTTAGAGGCACAAAAAAAAAACAGCCAGCATGTTCAGGAGCAGTAGCTTTTTGGCAGAAAAACAGTCGACACGAGGAAACGTGTCTAAGCGCACATTAATGCTAGATGAGTTTAGCGCTTGAGCATTCATTCATTTTGATGGCCAGATTAAATCATTATTCTGGCCAATTAAATTAATTTAATGTTCAAGTGCTTGACACGCCTAAACTGTCCTAAATGCAGTACATGTGTTTACAAGCGTCAATTGTTTTTTTTGTCAGGAGGAAAGACATCGAGGGGAGGTTATCAAAACATTTAGCATGCATTAGGCCTAATAGAACACTTACTGAGCATATTGCAAGCTTCTTTAACCATTCGTATTGTAACAACATCATCATAAACTTCGTAAGTCATGAATGTATCCTGAACACCAGCCAAACTTCTGTAAATGAAATATACATCTGTTATGCTTTAGCGCTGACCAAATATAAATAATGCAATGTTATAAACAAGATCATTCCTGTCTCCGGAGCTGCCCAAACTGGGCAGGTAGACCACACCACTAATTATTAGTACTCCCTGAACCAGAGACATTATTGGGTTAACTATACATCTTAACTGTGTGATCTGTACTTTGGCAGAGTCTGGCCATAGATTGAAATTCTGTCAGTTCAGCATGGACCGGCTGAATTTCAATCCATCTTTGGCTCAACAGAACTCAATCTAACAATCTACTTACAGTATGTCAAATGGGAAAGTTAGAAAACTATTCTGACAGTGGAAGAGTCCCCAATGTCAGAATACAATGGTACTGCGGGGAGGATTCCTCCATCTCTCCTTATCTTTTTTTCATTCAGATTGTTATAGGGGTAACCTAGCTATGTGGTGCTTTGCCTATCCTCTTATCTCAACACAAATCAGCCAAAAAAGGAAGTCAATAAACTTTCTGTAGTATCCAATAAAATGTAATACCCACAGTGCAAAAGACCATGTGATTAGGCAGTACCTGGCCACCCATAAAATGACTTAGTTGCCTTGGGTCCAAAAGCTTGGGCTCTGTCACTCCTATCCTATATACATTCAGTTCTTCAACTAGATTTAGTAAAAATGGATCGGTATGAATAAAAAAGTTTCCAGTGACTTATCTACATAAAATGTATTTAATTAAATATAGCTTGTATAACATGCTTTTAATCCTGGCAAATCAGGATAAACATCTTGGTATGCTTTGCATTGGCATGACATGTTATAGCCCAGAATGGCAGCATGCAGCTTAGGGTGACAACACTGTTCCTGCATACAGATTCTGAAAAAGAGTGTTGTCACTCTATGGAAGGAAGTGGCTGGGTAGACCTTTTGAAAGGTTAAATAACTGAAAACGAGCCTCCCAAGGCATGACAAGGCACACATCTGTAATCTGTTAAAGACGGGGAAAGAAATTTATTTTTGCCAGTTTATAAATGACATAGGATTCACAAGCATCTTTGAGGCACAGTTTGAATGAAACTAAAGGTTGGGCCATCAGATAAAATAAGAGTCACTGCTGTGTAAACAATGGGCTTTTTCATCAAAAGTTCTTGTAAAATGTTGAAAGGAGTGTAAAGTTTAATAATAGAAAGTAGTATGCAAAGATGGGATTTTAAAATTTGTATATTTTTAACAATTTGGTGTTCCTGGGTACCTAAAAAAAATCCTTGCATATTACTTTCTGTTTTGTATACTAGGGATGTGGCACCTCAGTAATTAGAAGTGCTTAGATCTATTTGTATTTAAAGATACGAATAGGCAAAACCTTTTTTTTGTAGTTTAGGGAAAGGATTAAAATAGGGAAGGATTAAAATCTCTGTCAAGTTTTCAACTGCCCCCCCCCCCCCACCCCCAAGGAAAATCTACCCTCTTTATTTGTCTTGGTGGCCACTGCCAAAATGCACTTTGTTGACTAACAATACCATGCTTACATCTACCTGAGGACTGGTCTAGGGCAATAAACACAAAATCTAGGTATTACGAACATCTATTTACCAAGCACGCCAGTGTGAAATTGTTGGCTTTTGTCACAGGTGGTTATCTCCAGTAGCTGGCTTTGGATAATCCCTGTGGTCTCTTGTGGGCCCTGCAGACCTTCTTGTTCTTTGCAGGCCTGGGGTATCGCCATCGATTTTAATATGCTCTAATCTATATTTGATGGTGATGCCTTGAAGATATTTAGATACCTTTTCTGCCCCCCCCCAATGAAGATTTGGGAGAAACTAATTGAAACGTGTTGGGGCTTGCCCGGCAGGGCAATACATACATAAAATTCTTTTGATGAACACATTTGTACAAATAACCCTGACAGAGAGTGTAGGATTATTACAATATATCACATTTACCATGGAGTAAGTATATCACAGCATCTGTGTTTTTTAGGATATGTTTTCTTTCAATCTTTTGTACGAATAAAATACATTGATTTTATGTAAATTCTTTATCTTGTTGCTCTGTAAAAGTCCCATGGGAGAAAATGGTATTGTAGTGTAATGCTAGCGATGTGGCAGCATATAACTATTGTAATGTAAACTAATGTAAACTAATCTTTCTTGCGTAATGTAAAATTCTGAATTGTCTCTGGAACAGAAATAGAGGATAAATCTTTCTGGCTTCACACTGGCTTAAATAAATGTTTCTCCTAGAGGAGTTTAGCATTTTGCCTGTAGCAGCAACTAATGTTATCCTCTGTTTCCATGCACATTAGGTAGTCTAGAGGTGTTTTTTTAAACCTTTTGCTGCCAGATCTGTACATCATATAGACCTGATAGTGGGGGGGACTTTAAACACAATCCTGTGATTGCAGCCACCAGGATTGTGTATAAAACTGACAGGCAGACTTCTGCCTGTCAGGTCGAAGCACTTGGGTGGCTGTGCTGCTGGCTGATTGCTTCCAGAGCCTCCGGTGCAGGTGCCCCCCATGCTCTTGCTCACACAATGTGTCCAGGACCCACTTGCTCAACTGTGGGCCCAGGGAGTGCCATGGCGGGTGCCGAAGGGGAGAGAGGAGAGTGGACGAACGTCTGCTCTCCTCCCCTTCTTTCTGTGACCTAAAAGGCGATATGTATGACGTCACTTCCGGATCATGGCTGTCGCTGGCTAGAATAGCCAGGAAGAGATGTATTGCAATACATCCAGTGCAGCCCAGAGGAGACATGCAGGGTCTTTTATACCCTGCATGTCTCAATAAAGAGAATATGTCACCTAAAAATCATCACACAGGAGAGTTTGTGTTCCCTATGTGATGAAAAAAAAGTTACGTAACAAACATTTTTTTTTAATTGCAAAAAAATAAAGTTAAACCAAAGAACATAACATTCCCTCCCAAAAAATTTTGAGCCGCACCCCCACATATGCACACTTACAAACATAAACAGATATGTTGGGGCACCTACGCATGAATACATCAATACACATGAGTGAGAGCAATAATTCTAGCACAAGACTTCCTCCATAATGCTAAACTGAGTATCGCCGCCTATAGAAAATACATAGGGTAAGTTTGTTTCCATTTCATAAGTGCACACAAATTTAAGATTTGGCATGTTGATTATCTATTTAGTCGGTGCAACCTCGTCTTTTATATTTTACCAAAAATGTGAGTAATGTATTACATTTGTTTGCCCTAAAATTCACTTTAGTGTGTTTTTTTTTTTACTAAAATGTTGCATTTCCTAGACCTTTGCGGTAATATTGTGTGACATACAAAATTGGAAATACCATTAATTTATTCTCTAGGTTGTCTGCTTTCAGAACATATATAATGTTTGGGGGTTTTGTGTAATCTTCAGGCTTAAAATGATTTTTTTTAAGCGTGTGCAAAAAATGCAAAACTAGCTTTGGCAGCAAAAGGGTTATGCTCAGGATCTAGAGGCAGAAAAAAAAACCCTTGCGTTTTTTAGAGTGTTTTTCTGGCAGAAAAAACACTAAATGCTCATAAACGCTAGTACAAAAAAACACTCAAAATTAGCATTTTTTTTCTGCCA